TGTTCTGTGAAGCGCTTTGGACGTCCTCCTGACGTGAAAAGCGCTATATCAAGTGCAAGGATTATTATTATTCTTATTCTTAAGGTGTGGCTGAGGGAATGGGAGGCATGGGAGGCATCTTTGCCTGCAGCAGGCGGCTGGTGGCTGGTGAGTGAGCGAGCGATGGGCAGTTGGGGCTGCTGCTCTGGGACAGGACGGGACTGCCAACTCTGGAGCAGAGGGAGGTCACGGTGGGAGTCCACGAGAGAGAGGAGGCGGCGTGGGAGGGAGGGAGTGCGGTGGGCGTGAAGGACAGAAGGGAGGAGCGGATGGAGGGCGGGCGGGTTGCGGAGGAGGAGGAGCATTTCCACGCAGATGGGGAGCGAGGGATCAATGGGACAGTGTCAGCGCGTGGGCTAAAGAAGCCATCGCGGGGGGGGGGGGGGGGGGGGGGGGATGGCGGTCATGGCTGAATTGCCAGAGAGCGGGAGGGGAGGGAGGACAAGGCAGCAGAAGGATAATGGCGGGGACTTGCGGGTTAGAAACTGGCGCCAGGAAGTCACGTCACTCTCATCACCTGACCCGGGCGGCATTCCAAATTGGCGCCCGGAAGTGACGTCCGACAGCGCGAGACCTGATCTCCATTGAGTGACGTTTAAATGTCGGGGGGGGGGGGGGGGGCCTGAAGCCGCTCGTGGTGACCAGGCGGTGACTTCACCACATCTCATCCCGTCTGTGGCGTCCGCGTCCTGTTGTCCCCGACACCCTCGGCCCTCCCTCCGCTGCTCGCGGCTCCCGCTCGGTTTACCCGGGGTGTCCCGACCGTCCCCGCCGCTCGGCGGCTCGCGGCTCCGCCCCTACGTCAGTCACATGACGTCACTGCCCGGCTCCCGCCGCCTTTACCAAAATGGCGGCCGCCAGATTTCCTACGTCAGGCACACAACGTCACAGTCTGACTCCCGCCGCCTTTACCAAGATGGCGGGCGCCAGGCTCCTGCCGTCACACACATGACGTTACCGACCGGATCTCATCACCGTTAGCAAGACGGCCGTCACCACCTGACTCCCCCCCCCCCCAACCCATTAACAAAGATGGCCGCCAATGCCCTTCAGAAAGGCACAGAGACACTCTCCTTTACTCTCACACTCACTCTGTCTGTCTGACATGGAAACAGAGAGTGTCAGAGAGAGAGAAAGAGAGAGTGACTGATAGAGAAAGGGAGATGTAGTACATCGTGAAAGGTTTGAGCCGTGGGCACAGTGTGAAAGCTGTAATATAAACCACAAGCTTTATTGTATAGCGACACAGATTATAAAAGTTTCAGCCTCGTGGCCATCACAAACAAACACAGGTCATGGCTGAGGGTTTCCTCCTCATTAGCCTATCACCCGCAGATCCTCAGAGGCTCTGAGTTTTTGCCGCCATAATTCAAACTGGGACTGAAGTAAGGATAGAGTTTCTCAGTGAAATTCTGGGTGAAAGTGTGGAGATGAGACATGTTGTCCGCGTTGTAAAAGGTCACCTCTCCCCCCTCATAGTCCAGGAACACTCCCACCTTCCCGGGTCTGTCCCTCAGGGACAGGAGAGTGTGGGGAGAGGTCAGAAGGGAATTTTGAGGGTCTTTGAGGGGTGGGTGTGAGGGGTTTGTGTGAGGGTCTGTTTAAGGGTTTGTGAGGTTGTGTGTGTGTGTGAGTGTTTTGTGAGGGTCTGTGCGGTGATGTGTGTGAGTGTTAGTGTGTGAATGGTTACGTGAAGGCGTGTGGGAGGGTTTTTGTGATGGTTTGTGTGAGGAGGATCCTCAGGGGTTATGTCCGCGTGAGTGTTTGAGGTAGTGTCAGAGGGATTGTATGAGGGTGTGTGTCAAGCTGTGTGTGAGCATGTGTGTGAGGTGTGTCTGTGAGTGGGTGTTTGAGGCGTGCGTGTGAGGGTGTGTGTGAGGGTGTGTGTCAGGATGCATGTGAGGGGTTTGCGTGAGAGCTGCGTATGAGTGTGTGAGAGGGTGTGCGTGAGGTGGCGTGTGAGTTGTACACACCTCTGATGGTGTGTAAGAGTGAATGTGTGTGTGAAGTTGTGTGTGGGGGATGTGAGAGGGGATGTGTGAAGGTTTGTGTGAGGGTGTGTGTGAGTGTGTCTGGGGGGGGGGGCTGTGTGAGAGGATTGTGTGTGTGTTTGAGGGAATGAGAGAGGGGTTATGTGAGGATGTGTGAGGGTACGTGTGAGGATGTTTGTGAGGGGGTATGGGACGGTTGTGTGTGATAGGTGTGTTTGAGGGGTGTGTGTGAGGTTTCTGATGGTGCATGTGAGTGGTGTGTGTCAGGGTTTGTGTGAGTGGTTGTGAGAGGGGTGGTGTGCGGGTGTGTGTGAGGGTGTGTTTGACGATGCGTGTGAGTTGTTGTGTGTGAGTGTGTGTGTGAGGGTTTGTGTGTGAGCGGGAAGTGTCTTTGTGTGAGAGTTTTTGTGAGGGGTTTTGTGTGAGGTGATAGGTGAGTGTGTGTGTGAGCGTGCAAGTGAGGGACTTTACGAGGGTCTGTGTGAGGGGGGATGGGTTTGAGAGGTGTGAGTGGGTGTGTGTGTATGACAGGGTAATAATAGCAAGGCGAGTGCTCTAACCACTGAAACTACAGGACTCCACATACATGGTTTGTGTATGAGGGTGTGTGTGAGGTTGTGTGTGAGTGTGTGTGAAGGTGTGCGTGAGGAAGTGGGAACGTGTATGTGAGGATCCGTATGACGGTCTGTTTGAGGGGATGTGTGAGGGGCTGTATGTGTGGGTATGTGAGGGTAAGTTTGTGTGTGTGTGTGTGTGTGACTGTGTGTGTGAATGTGTGCACGAGGCTTTACGTGAGCGGGTGTGAATGTGTGAGCGATATGTGTTTCAGGGTTAAGCCTGTAATAGATGTATGTGAGATGTGTGTGTGTGTGTGTGTGAGGTGTGTTTGTGGGTGAAGCGTGTGTGAGGGGATGTTTGTAAGAGGTGTGAGAGAGAGCTGTGTTACGGAAGCAGTGCGTATGTGAGAGTTGTGTGTTTGAGAGGTGTGTGTCAGGTGTGGTTGAGAAGTTTGTGTATGGTTTGTGTGAGATGTGTGTGTGAGCGTTCTGTGTGAGTTTTATGCGTAATTAGTATTGTGAGGTGTTTGTGTATCAGATATGTATTTGTTGTGTATGCTTTCAGGTGTGTGTAAGAGATGAGTGTGTGAGGCGTGAATACGTGTGTCTGAGACAGGTGTTTATGAGGTGTCTGTGAGGTGTGTGTGTGGTGTGTGTGAGGGCTATGTTTGATGAGTGTTGTGAGGGGTTTATGTTTCAGATGTGTGTGAGGTGTGAGAGAGAGTTGTGTGTGAGAGTTATGTGTGTGTGTGATTTGTGTGTGCAAAGCGTGTGTGTGTGAGTTGTGTGCGGGTGTCTGTGAGGGTGTTGCGATTATGTGCAAATGTGAGTGAGGAGTCGGTATGTGTTTGTGTGAGGGAGTGTGTGGAGGGTATGTGTTGGGAACCATGTGAATACAAGTCTATTGACACGGGTTCAGGGTGAGAATGGGAGACATTTACCTGGGCTGATGTTGTCTATAATCTGTCTCCATACTGTGTTCTTCAAAGGCCATTTGTACTTGGCCACAGGCAGCTCATCCTCACACACTGACAGATCAAACACCTCGTCACTGACCCTGAAATAAGACACGATCACAATATAATGTGAAACTGCACCTTGTGGGCGGTTTGTGGGTTCAATTCTGGAATGTTTGGTCAAGATCATTTCATACCTTCTTTTGACAGCAGCTTCCTCCTAATGAAATCAAACACAGACAGATGTCACCTCAACATGAGTCACAACCGACAACAAAAAGTTTCATGTGGACTGCGTCTCTCAAGACCCAATTCAATGTCTGATCTCTTTATCTCTTTATCAATCACAATTAGATTGTTTGCTCCAGAATTTTGTGTAACTGTTACTCAACGCCATTATATTGTCATCTCTTTACCTGTACGAAGGTGAAAGCGTCTTTTCCCATCTGTGTCTGTAACTCGGAGAGTTGTTGTTCAACAGAATCTAATTTGCATTGAATCTCTCGCAGATTTGTCTCCATTCGCTTTACAATCTCCTCCTCTCGTTGTCTGAGATCTCGCATCACACGCTGCTCACTGTCCGTCAGACTCTGGTGCATTTTAGCAAACTCACCCGTAACGTGGGTCTGCAGACTGTTCACCTGTTCCTGCAATGTCAGACATCCAAACATTACACACTGTAGCCAGAGACACTGAGACATCACACCGTGTACACACATTGAACAGAGACACCGAGACATCACACCGTGCTCACACAGTAACCAGAGACGATGAGACATCACACCGTGTACACACAGTAACCAGAGACACTGCGACATTACACCGTGTAAACACACTAACCAGAGACACTGAGACATTACACCGTGTACACACACTAACCAGAGACACTGAGACATCACATCGTGTACACACAGTAAACATAGACACTGAGCCGACACACTGTGTACACACAGTAATTTGAGACACTGAGACATCATTTGTGAAATCTCACCTTCAGTTGTGAAATCTTTTCTTTCTGTTTGGCTTCTGCTTGTAAACCAGTTTCCTTCCTCTGTGTGAGAGAAGCTAAGGAGGATATAAGTTTTTTCCTGGAATAAATACACAGAATTAACCTGCTTGAAGGTGAAAATATCAGGTGGATCAGATACAATCCTTCTTGAGGAGTACTCTTACCTTATAGATTTCAACAGCTTCTTCAATGGGTAGGAAGCTGTGTCCTCTGTGTTCCTGCCCATGACTGCAAACTACACACAGCAATTTCTTGTCAGATTCACAGAAGAGCTTCAGTTGCTCCAGGTGTTTCTCACAGTGAAGTTTATTTTCCGTCTGTGTCGGGGTCAGGCCCAATTTTCGAGCTTTCTCTGCTAGACTCGCCAAGGCCCAACTGGCTGTGAGGTTCTTTTCTGTAAATGTCTCCTGACAAACAGCACAGCAGTTGATCTCCTGCTTTTCCCAGCTCCGGGTGATACAGGAGCGACAGAAGTTGTGGCCACAGCCCAGGCTAACAGGATCAGTGAAGAAATCCAGACAAATCGGGCAAATGATCTCCTCGGTCCAGATCTCAGCCGGGAGTCTAGAAGCCATTTTGATCCTCAGCACTTCCTTATTGAAACTGGTTTCGGTTTCGATGTAAGTTTGTAGGCGGATCCCAGTCACTGAGCTGCCAGACCCTCTCCTATAGTCTTTCCTTGTGAAATCAGTTTATTGTGACTTCGATCCCAAGAGAAGATGAGAAAACTTTGTACAATGACAAGGACACCCGAGCAAGGAAGGCGTTGGAATATGTGGAGGGGTGGTGTGCATGTTGGGTGGGGCGGGGACGGGTGGGAGGATGACAAAAAGCGTCATCAAATGGGTTAATTTGAGGTTGTTTGAAAGATCTCTTGTCTATGAGATGGTTTTCTGGTGCACGACATGTACAATGGCGGAAATCTCGCAGGGTGAGGCGGATATTGGGTTGGGTGGGGGTGATATCAAGCTACCTGCGTTTTTTGAGCGATTGGTGTGGCCGGGTCAGTTGGGTTGAAGGAGGTGGCGTAGGAAGGGCCGTGTAAGGAAATGAGGGCTTTTGAAATTGAAGGCACGGTCGACGACAAAGACCTTCAAATGTCACTTGAAGGCGGTGAGGCAGAGGGAATGCGGGAAGAGTTCCAGAGTGTGGAGACAGAGATGCTGAATGTCCGACCTCCAAAGGTGGGGTGAGAATTGCGGGGGATCTTAAGCAGGCCGGTGTCAGCCGAGCGGAGGGAGCAGACAGTCTTATTCGCGGTTATGAAGTCGGAGAAGTACGTTGGAACAAGACCGTGGAGTTTCCTTGAAGTTATAGCAAGCGTGGTCTCTGTGTAACTGGGCTGCTCTCCATATAACTGACCTTATCTCTGTATTAAAGCCTGGTCTCTGTATAACAGGCCAAGTGTCTGCGTAACTAGCTGGATCTCTGCATAACGTGCCTGGTCTCTTCATAGCAGATTGGACTCTGTATAACTGGCATGGAGACTTTATAAGAGGTCTGTCTCTATACAAAATCTTTGGACACTATAACTGTCTTGATGTCTGTACAACAACACAGCTCTCTGCATACAAGCTATGGTCTGTGCATGATAGGCCTGGTCTCTGTATAACTGACTGATCTTCACTTTGTCTCGACAAATGGCTTCTACTCCACCCCCTGCACTGTCTCATGTGGTGTCCCTCAGGGCTCTGTCCTCGGTCCCCTCCTCTTCATGCTCTACATGCTCCCTCTTGGTGACATCATCCGCAGACATGGAGTTAACTTCCACATGTGTGCGAAAGACACCCAACTGCATATTTCCTCCTCTACTCTCAACTCCACGACCACCGATGTCCTGACAGCTGCCTGTCCGACATCGAGTCCTGGACGAGAGACAACTTTCTTCAGCTCAACGTCCGAAAAACTGAGGCCCTCCTGATTGGCTCACGTCAGCGCCTCCGCACCTCAGGCGCTGACAGCATCGGCATCCAATGCTGCACTCTCCAACTCTCAAAGCAATCAGGAACTTCGGTGCACTGTTCGACCCTGAGCTGTACATTCTCCCTCATATCCGCACCACAACTGGCACCGCCTTCCATCACCTCCGGAATATCGCCAGACTACGGCACTACCTCACCCCTCACGCTGCTGAAACTCTGGTTCACGCCTTTGTCACCTCAAGGCCGGACTATGGGAACTCTCTCCTCGCCGGCCTTCCCGCCACCTCCCTCCACACTGCAGGTCATTCAGAACTCTGCAGCTCGTGTACTGTCCCGCACCAGGCTTCGGGACCACATCACTCCCACCCTCGCTCGCCTCCACTGGCTCCCCATCCCCCAGAGGATTGATTTCAAGATCCTCATCCTCACCTACAAGGCCATTCACGGCCTCGCTCCCTCCTACCTCTCCGACCTACTATCCCCCTACCTACCTGCCCGTACCCTCCGTTCCTCCGGCTCCGGTCTGCTCCACGTCCCCCGCCCCAACCGCCCTACCATCGGTGGTCGGGCCTTCAGCCTCTCAGCTCCGAGGCTCTGGAACTCTATCCCACAGTGCCTTCGCCTTCGCTTCCTCCCTCTCCTCCTTCAAGGCCGGTCTCAAAACCTGTCTCTTTGACCGTGCCTTCAGCTACCCTCTCGACTCTCTTCCCCCTCCTCGCTCCCTCCCTTCCCTCCCCTCACCCTGACCATTTCCCCCTCCTCGCTCCCTCTCTTCCCTCCCCTCACCCTGACCATTTCCCCCCTCCTCGCTCCCTCTCTTACCTCCCCTCACCCTGACCATTTCCCCCTTACTCGGGTCATGACCCAACTGTGCAGCGCCTTGGGACGTCCTCCTGACGTGAAAGGCGCTTTATAAATTGAATGTTGTTGCTGTTGTTGTTGTTGAAGTCTCTGCTGGTTTTGGTGTTTTCTGGTCTTCTACATCCCTATTATATATGCAGCAGCATACTATGAGTTCCAAGTCATATTAACAATAGTAGGCAATGCTATTTAACATAACGAGCGTTCAGTAATACTACTCAATGTTTAGTTTTGCTTTCAACAAAAAAATTAGTAATCCTTGCATTTGATATTGCGCCTTAACAGCTTTTCCAGACGTTTCAACGCGCTTCCCGGAATATACTTTCAAGTTAGTTGACTATCTATTCATGAGCGAAACCCTACAGCAATTTTGCGCACATCAGTGTCCAAAAAACATTGTGGATTGAATGAGAATTTTTTTATGAGGGATCATTATCAAGCTTGTGGGGTAAGGAAGCGTGCCCAAGATTTCAACCTGCGTGACAACGGATGTCCAATAATCACGCAAAATAAGCAAATTGCTTTCGAATTTCCTTGGTTTACATATTTCATCTAACATTTAAAAATGTTGTCTTAGTTAATGAATTGAATAAGCGAATCCTTTCTCTTTGAGAATTTCGCTTTGCTTTCTCAGTTCAAGTGTGCTAATTGCTGTGGATTAATGGAGGTATAGTGCACTAGATTGAACTGACTAACCTTTCAGGAAATATCAGCATTCTGCACTTTTCATGATGGTCAGAAATCAGGAGATTGGTAGTAAAGTCATGCCCCCATTTGGTATCCCCAAATGCTTTTGGTGATTCGACTCGCTTACCGAATTACTAAAGGTGAAGATATTGCACATACGTGAATGAAACGTGCAAGTATTACTTAATATTAACGAGTTCGAAAGTTATTGAAGCAGATGATGCAAAAATAGTTCCCAACATTTACATTCTAATCAAACCATTTTATGCAAAGTAATATTTCCCTGTTCAATAATCAATCAATATTTTGAGGAAGATTATTTGCTCGAAATGGCACCTACTGTATTATTGTTTGCGACATGTATGAAACAATTCAAAGACAGCTGAGTGGAATGTATTACAGTTTTGCACTTTGAATCTAATACTTATTATTCATCTAAATTGTGTTTTCTATTTTTATTGATTCTCGCTGTTAATTTTCTCGCGATTGTGATCCTATCAAGAGGAAAGTGCGGTCTCTCCAAGAACATAACTCGCTATATGATGGCCATGGCAACGGCGGATCTACTGGTTGTCATTGTGGATGTGTTGTTGAATAAAATAAAAATTCTCTATTTTCCATTCAATTTCTTATTCTACACACCAGTGTGCAGTTTTACAGTTATGTTGATATCTGTAACTGTTCACTGCTCTGTGTGGTTCACTGTTGCCTTCACGTTCGACCGATTTGCAGTTATTTGCTGCCAAAACTTGAAAAGCAAATTTTGCACAGAGAGAACGGCCACAGTGGTTATTGTAACTCTGTCTGTTTTCAGCTGTTTAGTGAGCATTCCCTGGTACTTGCGTTAGCGCCTGTTTTGCTGAGGCAGGCCCTTTCTCCCCTAGTAATGCCCTGCGCAGTACCTTGATATGT